CTTTTCTTGGATTTTGTTGTCTCGCTATTTCTGTTGTGGAAAATCGCAATAGCACAACATCTGAAATTTCCATTTTCGTTTTCCTTCCGAAAATTCGAAATTTCGTTGTTAAAAATCCGAAATATCCTTGTTTTCGAAAATTTCGATTTCCCATTGCATTTCCCTTTACTTGGAAATTCGGAATATTCTTTTTCCGAAATTTCGATTTTTTGAAAACGGTACGGGAAATCCCTCCTGCGGGTATTATTATCTAAACTGCGAATACTCTCATCTGAGTAAATCTGAATACTTGTCATTTCTTTTCATATATATTTTTTTTCCGCAGTTCTAAGATTCTGTTAGTCAGTTCTATAACATTTGCAGCCTGAAGTCGAATTTTTTTCTCTCATTAATCATTTCGCACTTGAAAGGACGTTGGGAGACCTACTGAACTTGCAAAACTCGAGAATTTTTTTATTTTGTTATTTTCTGAATTTTTCTCGAATTTTTTTTTGCAAAGTTCAAGCTTTTATTTTTTGATTAGTGGCTCCTTATCTGGGCGATTCTTCCCACCCACCCTCCCCACCTATGTTGTTGCCACCTCTCGCCCTACCTTCTCTACCTGTCACCGGGTTACCCCTGCGGCGGCATTGGTGAGTTGCCACGTCAACAGGCCACGTGTCAGCACGCCACGTCAGCACGCCATGTCAGCAGGCCACGTCAGCAGGCCACGTCAGCAGGCCACGTCAGCCGACAGTAGTGCCACGTCAGCAGCAGGGAATACCACGTCAGCAGGCCCCCGACCTGATCTATGCTGTTGCGTTCACAAACAGCCGTCATGGACCAGAGGTCCAGAGAAGCAGACGAGGCCTATCACGCCCGAATGCTGGCCTGGAGTACCGAAACAAAGAGACGGGCGGATGACGCAGCAACATCTGCGAAGAAGAAGGCAGAGGATGCCGAGCAGGCACATCTGCTGGCTCTGGAACAGCAGCGCCAGCACGACGAGGCAGCAGCAAAGGCTGCTGATGAAGAACGACTTCAACGGCGGGAGGAGATATTTAGTGGATATCAGACTTTGCTCACAATGGCAGCGGAGTGGCGGACCGAGGCCGAGAATGGCAAGCTGGAGGATAGCGAAAACAAGATCGCTCTCCTCCTCTCCCATCTCACGGACCTCCTGACAACATGCATTACACAGCAAGAGGACATCCACAACCTCGACTACTCGCTGGCTCAAGTCCACGGCCGCCTCCGGCAGCTGGAGCAGCGACCTGTCGCCGCCCCCGATGCCAGCTCTTCCAACACCTCTGATCGCCTCGAAGCATTGGAGATGGACGTCGGCTCCCTCAAGGACGGCGTGCAGTTACAACAGACCGCAACGCAACAGTTGGAACAACGGATCTGCACTGCCGCCAACCACTCGAGTTCGGAACCGCGCGAGAGAACTCCAAAGTTCGATGGGCAGGAGATCTTCTGCGACTCAACGAAGATAGATCCAATTTCATGGTTCCTCAAGTTCGAGCTCACGCTGCAGCTACACTACGTCAAAGAACACAAGCACCACACGTACTTATACTCCCGGTCGGGGGGCGCGTGCCAGGCATGGTTGGACAATCTCTTGTCCAAGTACGGAGTAGTAGTTGGCGACTTGCACACCAAGATCAGGTGGGATGATCTGAAGGCAGCGTCGCACTCTGGAGGGAGCGCTGCAGGGTAGTAGTAGCGTTAGCATTAGTCTTTAGCGCTGGGCGCCAGTAGGTAGTTGTAGTCTTCAGCGTTGGGCGCCATAGCTAGGATAGCACTAGAGAGAGAGAGAGATTGGGCGGAGGCCAGGAGTACCTACCTGCAGCGCCGTTGCTCCAGCTTCATCTTCGAGGTACCTGCAACACAGAGCCAACTTCACAGGTTAGTATCTCGCTCGTGACAGAGAAAGAGTTCTTCTTCTTCCTCTTCTCAGGCCACCATCTACCTCTCACCCTCTCATTATCAGACTTCACTGCATCCGCATGAGCGAGCGAGCGAGAGAGAGAGAGAGAGAGAGAGAGAGAGAGAGAGAGAGAGAGAG